AAAAAAAATATTCAAATATAAAAATAAGAACAATATTAAATATAAAATCATTTAATGAGTTTTTTTTTGATATTCTGATATACAAAGTTAAGTTAGGTTTGGTTTAGAAAATATTTTGTTATAGAAGTAGAAACGAAACTTAAGTACGATGCGTTATGTGGATGCCACCTTTTCCACTATATATCATACACATAATCACATATTACAATTTCTTTCCTTCAATTTCTCAACACTGGCTGTCAGTTCCAGCAAAAATGTTTATGTGGTGATTTCGTTTTTCAGCTTTAATGTGTCAAAGCTTGTTAAATATTTGTTTTTAAATTGTCGATGTTTAATATTTAATTAATTTCATGTGTACTTGCATGTACATACTTGAACTTCGCGTTTTAGACGAACACGGTTTTTTTATTTCTATTTGTTTTTGTTGCAACACTATAAACAAGTTTGAAAATGAGTAAAAAGTATATAAAATGCATAAACATAAAGAGAGAAGCACGACAAAAATAATAAAAAACAAGCGACCAAGCAGATCTATCTTTAGATCAACGGTATAGCGGGTTTAGCCATGGAATCGGAAGTAGAGATCGAAACCACCCCTATTTACTATTTACTTGTAAAAAAATTTGAAATTTTGAGAGTTCGATACCAATTATGAGGATGTGGACTATTGTAGTACTAGCAGGTCAATTGAAAAGTCCCCGGCCTAGCAGAATTCATTAGTTTTTATTCAACATATTTTCCTTCAAGTGTGATACACTGATTATAGCAATCATCCAACTTTTTGATAGCATTTTTGTAGTACGATTTGTGCTTCGCTTCGAAATAAGCTTCAATTTCGGCGATCATAGCTTCACTCGATGAAAGTTTCTTCCCAACGAGCCTTCTTTTGAGATCTGAGAACAGGAAATAATCACTACGAACCAGATCTGGAGAATAAGATTGATGGGAAAGCAATTCGAAGGCCGATTCATGGATTGCTACCATTGCTTTCACTGACTTTTGACACGGTGCAATATTTTAATGAAACGACGCTTTCGATTTCTTCAAATGTGACCATTTTCCGGCAATTTCGTTCTTCAAATTGTGCAATAACGCTTACTACATCGACGGTGTTGATCTGTTCTTTCTTTTTCAAGGAAGTCTATAAAAATTAGTCTACGTCCATCCGAAAATACAGACGCCATAACCTTGCCAGCTGACTGTTGCGTTTTTCCATGCATTGGAGCTGGTTGATTATATGCAGACCACTGCGTTGATTATCGATTAGGTTTCGGATTGAGATGATGGAGCCACGGTTGATCTACTCTTACATATCGACGCAAACACTCGGCTTTATTACGCTTGAACATCTCCACCGCGTTCACCGCCTTCGACGCTCATTGTGCCACGTCTAAACATAGCATACCAATACTTGATGATTGATTTTTATGTGGCGGTGTTCGAAAACACAAGCCAAGTTTTTGCTTCAACTGAATCTTTTGCCACCAAAAAGCAATATCTTCTCAACAATTCGAAATTCGTTTTTATGATTTTTTTGTTTTTCACAAAGAACAAAGGTTACTTCATTCAAAATGTTATTATTCAAATAGCAATGAGCCGACATCTAGCAAATTTATATGACTGCTTTTTGAAGGTTAGGTCTAACTAAAAATCATATGGATATATTATAGCAGCGCCATCTATGTGTCACGTCGGGGACTTTTCAATTGACCTGTTATTGAAATTGTTAAGTGTTCATTATATTCCGAATATAATTTATTATTTAAAGTGGCAATTATTATTTTACTTAAGCACATGTAGGACACGTTTAGTGTGAAAGTGAATACATAGGAAATTCCTTTGGGTATAATTAACTTATAATTACTAGCGATTATTCATCACTTAATGAGTTTGCTTAACGCGAGGGAATGGAAAATCAAAATCCTCAGGCGAAAATATAAAAGCGACGCTTGACTTGCAACCATGTAGTTCGCATTCTGCGCTTTGCGGTCTCATAGCTTCTCAAAAACAAAACAAAAAAATGTTTCGATTAATTTTCTTCAACGCCTTGCTAATGTTACACTTTCATGGCAAGCACGCTGACATTGTGGATTTAGTGAATGATATGAATCAGGGTTTGGCTGCCACAACGAACGTTATCTACAACTTCAACGCAACAGCGCATTTGACTGTCATTGCGAAGAATTTAACTTTGCCGACAATCATAATTACAAAGAATGTTTCTTACGAAATAAGACACACTTTCGATAAAGAAATATTGAGTGTAATTTTCTTGGCGGACACCCCCACGTTGGACCAAAGCTGGCACATTGTAGTCTTCAGCACACTTAAGCGTTTGCACCACACCGATGTGCTTCTCCACTGGCCGCGGGAATTCACTTCTGCGACAGATATTTGGTTGACGCTCTTCACACTTTATTGGCAGCATGGCTTGCACAATTTACTGGTGGTAGATGTGCGTGCTCAACTACTAACGCTGGCACCATTTCCACAACTGAGTGTGGTTAATACTAC